TCATACTTTGAGTATCACATAAGCAATGTCATATGGTATTCTAAAACTGATTAATAATTTTCATTCAAAACACATCATTTATAAGCAATGTTATATCTTTAATATTTTTCTATCAAATAAAAATTAAATAGATTTTATAATAGTTTGTGCTATAAACAATGCGTTTTTATTTTTTAAAATTAAGAATTTTGATCGATAATTTTGTGTTAAAATTACAAACTTACATCATCATCTCGCACCGAGCTATTTTACACTATTATAGAATTTTAATTTGTTCCTATTAATAATGAATATATAATTTTTTGTGCTTAAATTTAACTCATAAAATTATTATTATCTTAATTTTCATCATGATTTTTTTTTAAATAAAAAATTATAATTAATAGTGCCCCATCTAACACAATTTTCTAGCTCTGCCACTAATTAGAGGTGAAGAATGAAGGGTCTCAAGCATTATTCTTTTTTTTAATATCAAGCTTTAATTTCATTTATTTAATTTAATGATCATTCATAATTTTTTTTGGAGATGCTAAGGTAAAAATATATTTTTTCCAATAGGCATAATTTTTTAATGATCATATTTTTCAAAAAAGTTACTTTTTCAAATATTTTTGAAAAAGTCAACATTTCAACGGTCACTTTTTCAACGGTCATATTTTAACGGTCACTTTTCCAACAATCATATTGTTTTAATATAAATAAAACCATTGCCTCTCTAATTTTCATCCACCTCAATTCAAATTTGTTTGTCATCCATTCATTATTTTTTTTCTATGGCTCGCAATTCTATACGCAATATGATTCTCAATGAATCTGACTCTAATGATGAGTTGGAGATAATCACAATGGTTGGTATGGAAGAAGAACAACAAGATATCGAGAGAGGATCAAGATCACGTCGTGGTTCTGTTCAAGGTCGTACATTCATTAGGCGTAATACTTTGCAAGGCCACAAAAGGCTTTTTCTCGACTATCTTGCTAAACCACCCATATATCCTTCCAGTGTATTTTGAAGAAGGTTTTGGATGAACCGTTCTCTTTTTCTTCGTATTCAATCTGCTCTAGAAGCTCATGAAACATATTTTGTTCAGAAAAGAAATAGTGTTGGAATGCTCAGTTTGTCTTCTCATTAGAAGATGACCGCTGCACTTAGAATGCTTGCTTATGGAGTAGTAGCTGATTTTTATAAACGAATATGTAAAGATTGGAGAAAGTACTACAATGAAAAGTCAACAAAAATTGGTCGAAGCGGTGGTTGCAATTTTTTCTCATGAATACTTGAGGTCATCAAACAACAATGATATTGTCAAATTGCTCTCTATTGGTAAAAGTCGTGGATTTCCTGGGATGTTAAGGAGCATTGACTGTATGCATTGTAAGTGAAAAAATTGCCCGACTGCATGGAAAGGTATGTATTTTGGTCATATTCGTGAACCAACAATTATTTTAGAAACTGTAGCGTCATATGATCTTTGGATATGGCATGCGTTTTTTGGATTACCAAGGTCTCATAATGACATCAACGTGCTAGAATGATCTTCAGTATTTACCAAGCTTGCTGAAGGGCGTGCTTCTCCAGTCAATTACTCAATCAACTGGAATGACTATACAATGGGATACTATCTGGCCGATCGCATATATCCGTAATGGTCAACATTTGTGAAAATAATTCCACCTCCTTCAAGAAATAAGAGAGAACATTTTGCTGCAGCCCAAGAGTTAGCAAGGAAGGATGTAGAACGTGCATTTGGAGTGTTTTAAGCACGATTTGCGATTGTACATGGACCTGCATGTTCTTGGGAACGTCAAACACTTAAAGAAATTATGAAAGCGTGCATAATATTACATAACATAATTATTGAGGATGAGCGAGATGGTGATGGAGCAAACAACTTCGACTATAAACAAATAAATGAAAGTCCGCTTGTACCAGTGTCACATGAGCATACAATTGAATTTATGGAATTCATCCAACGCCATCATCGCATTAGAGATAGAGAAACTCATTCTCAACTCCAACCAGACCTCGTCGAGCACTTGTGGCAACTACATAGCCAGTCATAGGAACATGTATTTTAAATTTCATAGTTTCCTAATGTATTTATGCTAGTCTTTATTGTGATTTGAAATTTACCAAGCTTTAATATCAGTCCAATTTTCAAGAAAGAAATTCTTAAAATTATCAGTCCAATTTTCATACACAAACAAAAACTAACTGGCATTCTAAAGCTAGAAAATGCATTGTTAAGATTTTTGGAGGTACAAAAGGTAAAGAATAAGTTTCTTTATTCTTCAGTTTGTATGTGTATGTTTCTGTGTGTATGATATTATGCATTGTTAAAATCAAATAGATGAAATTCTAGCTTCAGTTTCACAGGCAGCCAGATCTGCAAGTACATGATATTATGCATTGTTAAAATCAAATATTGTCAACATAACCAAGCAAAATAACCAATATGTGCTGCACAAATACTAATGATATCATGTAAAAACAACTTCATATAGAAAGCCACTATACCTAAGATACTGAACATATATATATATATATATATTTTTGGTGGCCACAAAGCCAAACCATTACATAGATAGCATAGTATCACCCACAATTTTGCTGCATTGTTGAACAAAAATAGAACTTTTCATCTTAAAACACAAACTTAAAAGTACAGAACTTGCTCATCTTAAAAAAATCCTACGCATGACAAAAATTCAGCAGATTACTATGCATCACAAACCAATTGTCAAACAGAGCATTAGTATCAATAAATTGCTCCAGCAGATTACTATGGGGCAGATTAAAATTGCCAGCAGAAAATTGCTCAACCATCTGCATCAATCTTGCTAGCAGAAAATTGCTCCAGCAGATTACTACCAAGTACATTAGTATCAATAAAAACAATTAACAAAAATCCACAAAACTACACAATTAAAATTGCTCCAACAGATCATTCCTATACATCACAATTCAACTGTCAAACAGTTGGTGAGCAACTGGAGATGCTTTGGGGTCCATATATACTTAAACAATTCATTTCTGCATATAACAGACCAAATGTCGAACAGTTGGTGAGCAAAAAAAATATAGATGTGAACAAAAAACAACTTGAACAAATCTGGCCTGGCAAGATTGAACAAAAATCCAATTCAAAATCAACACCAAGCAACAAATTCGAGCAGATTTTTTGAAAACAATTAAAAATATGTTTTTCTATTTAAAAATATTGCCAAATAAAAATAAAAACAAAGACAAGTTTTGCCATCAAAATCTTGCAAGAACAAAGAAAATTACCTGCAATTTATGTTGGATTTTTGTTTGGAGAAGAAACTGATCAGGAGAAATTCTTATCCAAATTCTAAATCCAAACATAACTTTTATAGATTTTAAATATAAAAAAAAAAGAAAAAAAAGATTATGAATTAGAAGGCTGTGCTACCCACCAAAGGGGCTTCTGTTTGGTCTGAAATTAAAATCCCAAATGGGAGAAAAAGCATTGTCATCGAACAGACTAACACAAACAAACAGAACATAAAGTCAGTCAATTGGAAGGATTTTTGTTTTTTTTTTTTTTTTTTTTAAATTTTCATTTTCGTTCTTATTTATTTTTGCACGAAAATGAAAATAAAAATGAAAATGATGAATTTAATTATTATTAATATTTATAAAGATTTAAGAACAACTTTTTAGTGTTACCCTTTTTCTTATTAAAAAAATAAATAAATAAATTACACTGACACCTCCCGAGATTTATATTTATTACAGTTTCCTTCTCACATTTGAAAAATTACACTGACCCCCCTTGTCAGTGTAATTATTTGACGGTGTTAACTTTTAAGTTAAAATGACATATTTACCCTTAACCTTTACATTTACTTTAAAGGATAAATTACATTGACACTCCTGAAGTTTCAATTTAATACGGATCTCCCTTGACATTTAAAAAAAAAAAAACTAATTTAATAAAAATAAATATGAAGAAATATATTTAATTTGTAAAAAAATATTTCTAGCCACTCGAAAGATAAAAATTATATAAAAATGATAATTATTTTTTATTTTTTATTTGTTAACCAAATTAATTTTTAATTTTTAAAAAAAAATTCTAAAAATCAAACCATACATAGCCTAAAAATCTTTTGATAAGTCATTCATTTCTTACGTTGGTAACTTATTTAATTATTTGTTAAATTTTCTACATTTTTACCATTTGACTAGCAAAATTTTTTTTCAATTAATTTTTATTTCAAATAATTTTTTTTTCAATGATTTTTTTTTTCAACTAATATTAACCGAGGGGCAATTGGTAATGTTACTTTAAACCTTGGGGAGGGGATTGTAATTTCTAAAATGTAAAGGGTGTCAATATAATTTACGAAAAAATTAATATTTAAAAAAATTAAATTGCTGACATCAGCAAAATCTGTTAGTTGACTTAACAGTCAGCTAACTGAAGGAGCAATGTGTAATGAAACTTTAATCCTCAGGGAGGGGATGTAATTTCCAAAATGTGAGGGAAAAACTGTAATAAACATAAACTTTAAGGGTGTCAATGCAATTTACCCAAAAAAAAAAAAAAGAACAACTTTTTAGTGATTTATTAAAAAGGGAGAATTTGATAACAAAAAAAGTATATATATTTACAGATTAATAAAAAAAAATTATAAATTTAATTATTAATATTTATAAAATTTAGGAATGTTTTTTTAAGATCCATGCTAGTAAGATTTTGTAGGATAAAGGACATGCAATATTTTCATAGTGGTTGGGGTCCCTTAACAATTTTTCACAGAAACTTTGATTCAGAGAAATTTTGAAACAAAAGAAATTTCGTTAAGTGTATTTGTGTATTCATGTTTGGAATTTTTCTGGACACATTAGAATCCCCTTAAAATTTCTCTGAGTGTTTGTTATTCATGTTTAGAATTTTTCTGGACATTTTCATTGAAATTTCTCTAAACACATCACAATCCCACAATGTTTGGGAAAATTCACACACTGATAATAGCCAGAGAAAATTCATATGGTAACCACAACCATAGAAAATTTACAAAATTACAAACAATGACCACAATTAAAGAAAATTCACACCGTAATCACAGTTAGAAAAATTCATACAGCCGGAGAAAATTCACAAAATTACAAACAATGATCACAGCCAGATAAAATTCACACAGTCATCTGGAGAAAATTCACACAATCCAGAAAAAATTCAATTTGATTTGCTCACACAACTTGCAATCTAATTTGCTCACATCACCATCTCCTCGTCCAAATTCCGCTACATCAGTAACTTTATTATTGTCAATGATCACCCATTCTGCAATTTAAAATTTGGGTGGCTTAATCAACCAATTTTTTTTATTTTTTATTTTAAACTAAAAACTCAACTAGTTTGCTATTGTTTCTCCGTCACAAAACCAACTGGATGCAAAAAAAAATTCAATTTTTTAATTTTGTGAATCGAGTTCCAATTGAGTTTTTCTCATTTTCTCAAGTAACATTTCTTCCTCTTTTTAGCTTTTTGGGCAACCAAACAAGATATCACACAAACAAGAAGAATCCAGAGAGAGGGAGAGAGTATGCTAACCCCATGAAAGAGGAGATCGAGAAGAGGGGAGTCCCAAATGGACTTGATTTCATCTTGAGTCCAATGGTGTCTGGGACCTTCTTTGATCGTTCACTCCGCTTGAATTTTAGCAGCAGAAGAAGAAGAAAAAGAAGAATATGAGGACGAATGCAGGCTCAAGATCATCGACAACAGTGGGTGTCAATTAGGACAAATTAATCTAATCAACATCATCTTTGTGTCTTACTGATACATATATACACACACAAAATCAGTATAGATTGAGAGAGAGAGAGAGATGCAAATTGCCCTGACCACACCGATTACGTCAAGAACATGATCACCAGCGCCGCCTAAATGGTTGACAATCATGGAGAGAGAGAAGAGAGGATGAGGGAGAGAAAGGAGAGAGGATATGACTGAGGAAACTTAGGTTGGTTTAAGGGGTCCTAAAAAAATTGTGTTTTTTGTCTTTTTATAAAAAAATGTACAAAAAAATAAAGAGATGATATGATGAAAAAAAGATAAAAAGATAAATTATATAGTCTACGCCAAACCAGCCTTTAGACAAAAAAAAAAAAAAAAAAGTTGAATAAAAAAAAAAAGTAGTAGTATCATCAACCTCTTTCGCTACTAAAAATTAGAGAGGTGTTAGATTAAATTTCTTATCATTGATTTGATTTAGATTTTTTTTTGGGAAAAGATAAGCTGAGTTGTAATTTCTCCCATTAAAAATGGCCAAAGCCATTTTATTAATGCTATATTTAGTTGAAAATTTTGAAAAAAAATTTAGAAAGAAAAAAGAAAAAAAATATGTGAAACTAAATGAAATATAAATATATTTTATTTACATTTCACTTAATTTTTTTATTTCTCTTTCTAAATCTTTCCTCAAATCTCACAAACCAAACACAGCATAGGAAGGGTTTTTTTTAATTAAGATTTTCAGAAAATGAAAACAAAAAACAGAACAGTTCATAATCCTCAGGATAATCAGACAAATCAGAAAAGAATCCGCCTTTATTAGAAGATTATTTGGAAATGGTGTTGAAACATGTAGAACACAAAAACAGTGAAAAACCAAAAATATAATCACATCCATAATTAGTAAAAGAAAATTGGCAAGAATCATTTGAAAATTATTCGGAATTGTTCGTAGTATATACAACAAAAAATGAATAGCTATTGACAATTTCCAAACCAAAATTGGAACCATTTTTTTCTTTGAACCATGATACACTTCTCGCAAAATCGTCCTAGCTCAAGATGAATAATTTGAAACAAAAAAAATAAATTATATTCCCATTTCCTTTTATAAAAAAAAAAAAAAAGTTCATCAAATTAAAATGTTCCCTTTACTACCACCAATGGCAACTTTGCGGTGACGCCTCGAACCAGATTTCTTATCTTTTCCACGTCTAACCAGATTCTTCTTTACTGGTGACCTCTCAGCCGTCTTAGGTCTAATCAAAACTCTGGGAATGGCTGGAGGAGATGGAGGCGGTGGAGGAGGTAATTGATCCAATATATCTTTGTGGTATGCCTGTAAATCGAACTCGGATTTATCAATGTCTATAAACATAAAACAATGGCAGTTATTATCAATCACAAACTTAAAAACAAAAATTGACAGTAAGCCACACAAATCACTTATTCTTTACTGAACTTGTTAGATATACCAAGATAATTCCATTAATTCGTTGCATTTTATACAGTACTTGAAACAAGAATTATATGATTCCTACATGTTTCAAATTCGTTATCTTTTGCTATAATCTCCATTTCATGTAATTGCTAAAATCTTGGGAATAGAATTTTGCCTCAAAGGATATGGAGAACAAAAGATATAATCCAATTTTCATAGGACATTCAAACACACCTTCTTTGCTTAACCATGACGGCATTAATGCGTCATAAAGGAGATAAAGTGTGCATCTGTATGCATGAAGAAACAAGGCATGCCCAGTATTATCAGAAAATGCTAATATCTTGGCGATTTATGTTTTGGAACACACATTCCGAAACATGGTACACTTTCGTCCAAAAATGGTGAAATTAGTAATCCAAAATCAATCCCAAATTTTTTCTCACTTTATTTTCTTAAAGCTTCCCTTAGGATGAAAATAAATAAAGGAGAAACAGAGTTTTGGGCCATAATACTCCTAAAAATGTGTTTACAGAAAATCGCTCTAACAATGAAGGCACCTTAAATTCTAGTACAGTGATTTATACAAGTCTACCCTTATCGGACCACATTTTAGAGTACGTGGCATACCACATTATGGTTCCCATTCCTCATATCGAAATGATTCATGTTCCAGGTAACACAAAGCGTGACTAAACAGCACACTCATTCACCCAACAAAAAAAAAAAAAAACAGCACACTCAAATTTCCCACATGACTAGAAAAAGGCAGAGCGAGTAGGGTGACTAACTATAGTTCTTAGGCAGTATCCTAATCCTAAATTTGCATGCAACAGTAGCGCACTTCAACGGGATCAACATTCAGTGTAATAAGCCAAGGACCTCTTTCCAAAAACTTGGGTGTTCATAAACTTAAAACAAATCATTTAAGGCTGTGTTTGGATCATTGATTTGGAAAGAGAAAGGAAAAGGAAAGGGAACCGTGAATATCCCTAGCCTTTTCCTTTTCCCATCCAAATCATTACCCAAACCCATTATGCAAACACAGCCTATGGGTATTTTATTGAACAAATTTTTCAATCCCACGTGATAATAAATAGAGTACTACCTGTATCACAAAATTTCGCCTTTCACAATCCATGAACATATTGATGTTCCAGTCAACTCTGGCCTTTACTTTGTCTCGTACAGTGGAGAAGCTCAACTGATCCCTGGAAGTAAAACGATCAACTTCATTGAACCATAGACAGGTGAACAGATTTGTGATGGGAATGTGTTCCTTTATAATCACACACCCTTCGGGAACATCTGCATAATGTCAGACATAAAGCAAAAACTCTATTTTGAGATTTTTTTTTTTTTTTTTTTTAATAAGAAAAAAAAAGAAGAAAGCAAAAACACACAGATTCACACATCATGCACCTACCACTAGTTATAGGAAGCTTAGCCTCAGAATATGGTGTTAAACCCTCCACCCTTTTATAAAACTCAACCTGGTAATTAATGGAGGAATTGTCGTATTTCCCTGCAGCTTTATTAGCTTCAGCTTCTTCAAATACATCGAATCGTCTGTAGTGTCTTGAAATAGCAAAAGTGGCATTTTGGCGCCACAAGAACCTGAACAATTGAAAAGTTCAGGCATCACATGAGTCCAACATGCATATTGCAACCACTGATTATAATGAAAAAATATTTTACTGAGTCAAGAGAGAGAGATAAAGGGGCAGTTTGGTGCAGCCTCTTGAAAGTTGATAATCAAAAAGCATAAGTGAAAAGCACCCCTTCCCCTACTTAGGCCCTGTTTGGTAGGGCTTATTTCCAGCTTATTTCAGCTTTTAGCTTAATTTAAGCTATTTTGATGTGTTTGGTTCAGCTTAACAATATAGCTTATAGCTTTTTGTAAGTCAAAAATCAACTTATTCTTTGAGTGGGGGAGGAGAAGCTTAATTTATAAGTTAAAAATCAGCTTATATTCACAGCTATAAGCTGTTATATTATAAGTTATAATCACTTTTCCACAGCTCTACCAAACGGGGCCTTAATAATCATCCTTTTTCAGCTTATGTAAGTTATTTTTGTCTTATAAACTGTTAGCAGAAACTGCACCAAAGCACTCTGGGCACAGATTTCTAAAAAAAAAAAACCATAAACAGCCTCATAAGTTGCACCAAACAGGGTCAAATAGACACATCCCATTGCACTAATTATTCAGACAGTTCACATACCCAACATTTAGGCATTGCATTCATGAGCATAATGCAAAACAGCATAATAATGGCCACTCCTCAACACATCAATGTTTGTCTTTATCCAAGAAAAAGAAAAAAAAGTTAATTATTCTACCTCGATTATTCTAAGCAGTCAGATATGGCAGTAGGAGACGTAACAATTTGACCAGGACAAATAATCCATAACTGTATGAATTTGCATTCTTTTACATTCTAGAGCATAGGAACAAACCTTAGCTGTCAAAAGTGAACCTACAGAGCACCCAAGAAGGCACTTTTTTTTTTTTTAATACTTAATTTCACGGTGGTGTGTGGTGTGCAAACTAGACCAGAATAATTGAATGACAACCACCTTTCGGTCACAAATATATCAACAAAGCTAAAAGAACTTTGACGATGCCAGATAGAAGTCAAGGTAATGCTGGGACCAATGAACTTCAGCTGTGGTTTCATATCACACCAAGTAGATTTAAATATGATTCACATCCCCATCATTGCAAGCTTAAGCATGAAAGGTGTTAGAATTTCCCATCTTTACCTTCACCTACTCCACTACACACTCCACTTCACCTACCTCCACTTCACCACACACTCCACTTCACCTAACCCACTATCACCTCCACTACACCTACTACCACATTTTCTTCTATATATAGATTGTATAGGAATTGTAATTAATCAATCTTGTTACAACAATCAATCAATATTAATCAATAATACATATATTTTTTCAAAAGGTAACACAACAAGATTTTTATCTCTCAACTTCTCAAAGTACTCAGATTTTATGTCTCAAGGACCTTCAGATTCAAAATTTAAATAACTACTTGTGCTAGTTAATAAAGAACCACTACCATATCATGCCTAAAGATATTGCAGGACAAACACGTTGATTTCTATAGTTGCAATCAAGCACACAGCGTCATACAAGGATTACGGGCAAACATAAGAAGTTGAACTAAATACGGTAGAGCCATTAGAATATGATGGTTTACTAAGCCAATCAATCAACATAACTGAAAGTAACATAACAATGAAATCTCAGGATCTTCCCATCATAGTAGTAATAGTACATAAAACTTAATGTAACAAGTTCATGAAAGGCTAATACAGAAATAGGACAGAGTTCACCTCTCCAGAATTTGATACGGATCCATAACGAGCTGAAGCTTTCCATCAATCCATATAGAATATCTGACATTAGGAAATAGCCTATGTAGTAGAAGCTTTGGTATCTGCGACAAGAGCATTCTGGGTCATACAAAATTCAAGACTCTCAATGCCTATTTGTCGAGAGAGTTCAAAATAAAACCATGATTTCTATTTTATTCTATTTGTCCATTTATATTATTATTATATTGTTGTTGTTGTTGTTATAGCTATTGTTATTTTGGTTTCCGGGGAAAATTTATTTCTGCATCATTTGTGGATTCCTTAGGAAAGATAAAAGTTTAGTTGCTGTCAGTCTTATGCTTTTGTATAGTGTGTGTATTAGTTATGTACCACTCTTATTAAATCTTTATTTATATATTACAAAATACAGCAACTATCTGACAAGAAAACCCGATGTGATTATTATACAACACTGAATAGAATTAGACAAAATCAAAACAAGATTTAAGGACCAAACAATTTTATCAACTTCAGTCCGATTGTCATACTTGTACATAGTACAGGAAAACCCAAAACCAAAAAAAAAAAAAAAAAAAAAAAAAAAAAAAAAAAAAAAAAAAAAAAGAAAAGAAAAGAAAAGAAAGAAAGAAAGAAAGGAGAGCCTAAATTAGTAAAAATCACTAAGTAGCTGAATCTTTATCTTTGTCCTTGAGCTTTCCTAGACGAGTGTGGATAAATAAGTTAGCCCAAGATTGTAAGTTTAGATTAGCAAAGTGAAAAAAGGTAAAATTATGAAACTAAACAGGAAAAATAAAATTCAAGCAGCCAACCCCAATTGTGTGGGATTTGGTTATCTTTATCTTCATCATTTCATTTCATTTTTTCTCCCAAGGTCCCGGTGTCCACTGTCTAAAGAAATGACGGGCTAACTATATTATCCTGTCAAGAAGAATGTTCCAAAGACCTCATCCCATATCCAGGGGCAACCATTTCTGCCATCTTCCCACAGAAGAAAGAGAGTTGCCGCCAAGGTTGGATGCAGCCACACAGGAATATTGATAGCACAAAGAGATCACCATGGGATAGAAGGTCATTATAATTTTTTACACTAGGAGGAAGGCATAGAAATAAATGAGATTACACACTTCTCAACTTGTATCTTCATGTTGTAAATCTTTGGATTTCTTCAAATAAAATTCATATGTTTAGCATACCAAGGTCAGTTTATTCCAACGGAAGTCATGTTTTTTTCTCCTCAAAACATAGGTATTGTAAACTTGACATGCCAGATTTTCTATTCATATTTTAACTTGACATATTAAAGTAGGCTTTCTCCAAAAGCAAAATGAATGGTTTAACGAACAATTGAGCGTGGTCATCAAAGACGCAAACTAACAACTTCTAAAAGTTACACATATCCACGTGTTTTAAGCAACCTGTGATCACTCAGGTTAAAAACATAGACCACAACCAAAGATTATCCTTAAATAACAACCACTGATGTCCCAACTATATCAAAACCATTCCATCACATGTGGAGCACTATCACCCATCTAGAGCTTCATATAGCAACACTGCTGCCGTCAATAAACAATTGCCAGTTAAAAGAACAAGAAGAAGATATCCTATATTTATCTGCTGGTTCACTAGTGTAAAGGGTTGGAGCTGAAAATACAGATAAATACATGATGTCATGAAAATTAATACATAATCTTGTACATTCTCAGTTTGCCACTCCACTTGCTTTGCTGATTTAGTTAGGGTATGCCACATTGTCATCTACCACCTTTCTTTTCATGTAGCAATTTTTTATATCAAATCTGCTCCATGAAAGAGTTTGACAATTCATTGTTGAATGTTAAGTTCCGAGTTTCCTCTCCATGAAATAAATAAAAGAAGTGGTCATAAAAGCCCCCCAGGTTTTCATCAAGTGCAAGTCACCTTAAGCATATTCTGGTACAGACTACAGAGAGGAAAAGGAGAAGAAAATCAACCAAAACAAAGTAAACTGACCTTTCCATTACGTCTAGGGTCAGAATAAGGAATGTTATGGACAACAACAATTCTCCATAATCCAACCCTCTTGCTGCTGTCCAAGACACTAGAATTCTTCTTCATAAACGCTTCCGTTTCCTCATCAATAAACATATAGAAGGGTACATTTTTCCTTGCAATTTTACTAATGCTCTTAGGCTGTTGTATTATGTCATAGTTTCCTGGATAAAATGAGATCATGAAGGAAAAAAAAAAAAACATATTCATAAAAAAAGAAAACAAAAGAAGAAGAAAAAAAAAAAAGCAAAACAAAAGCTCCAACAAGCCATTCTGGCAAAGAAGTAAAGATGCTTGCATGGCACGATGGCATCTAATGAAGAGGAGAGGGGAGCAGTAACAGGTCAAATTATTGCTCTCTGTTTTTAAAGAAGAATAGTCTAGAACTTAAAAAAAGATATTAAATGCTCATACCAAATATGGCTGACGCAACAATGACATCATGGAACTGCTGTAACTCTCTAAGGTCAGCTTCATCAATATCAAATCCAGTCCGATAACCAGGTCTACATCCTTTGACAAATCTGATTAAAAAGGGACATGCACCATTAGTGAGTCATAAGAGAAATTCAATTTATGTTGAAAACAAGATGAAAAACTGTGACATGCTATCATTCCTATTATTAGTAAGTACAGTCACAGTCACAGTCACAGACCACCCCCCCCCCCCACCCCCCCCCCCCCAAAAAAAAAAAAAGAAGAAAAAAAAGAAGTTACAATGAAGAAACCTACCCACAGTGCACAGTCATTGACTCTTTTATATCAAAAGAATCATTCCTCAACTTGAAAGTAGGATACCCGCCAAACTCAGAGCCTCCATGCGGTTCTGTTTTTGTTGGATTTTCCTCACGAAAATAAGTTAAATGACGAAGCACAGGTGACGCTGATGGGGAGCTTGGCATTCTAGCAATAGCCTGCTCCACAGGAAGGTAACATACGGGACATGCTGAGGAAAATGAGAACAAAATCAACAAAACCGCAGCATTACATATACTGCATGCACAAAACTGCAGCATTGCATATATTACATGTACCGCTTGAAATCTATGTTATCAAAACCAATAATAATGACGAGAAGTTATTAGATATAATCAAAATATAATTTTAATAACTACAGTACATGAAAGGATGATATGAACTGTTGTGTGCAAACATGGAAATGATTATTTGAGAAAAAAGGTGCAAACTTACGGCGTGGTCCAATTCGTTTTCTATAACCAGGAGGGGGAGGGGGAAATGCAAAATGTTTGCATGGATGTTCCAGACTGGAATCAGAGCCTGCAACAAATGCACGAACAGAAGAATTGGGAGTACTAGAAGGCTGCCGGTTGTTTTCACTACATACTGTGACAGTATTCACCTCAGGAAATTCCTTGTCTTGATTTCTCTGAGTAATGTACAAATCATTCCTTTCTGATGCATCTTATAATGAAAACAAGAAATGGTAGAGGTTATTAGTCCATTTGTAGCAACTGCGCAAAAATAACAACAGATAATTGATGTTGAAGTAGCATAATGGATTAAATAAAGAGAGAGAGAGAGAGAGCATGAGTCTCATAATGTAAGTCAGCCATGAAACAACACAAATTCAATGGACTCGGGGAGCTGTAGCTGTGGTCAGTTCTATCAGGCAATATCTAATCTAACGAAGTAACTCAGAAAGAAGTCTAGAAATCCTAACTTCCAATCTAATCCAACAATCAGAACAATATAACAAGGCTATAAAAATTCACACCAAACCCTATTTGATGTTTGCAGTGGCATCCAAATACAAGGAATTTTGAAACATATGTTTGTTTGGACAGACTAAGTTAGATGGGGTGGAACTAACATTCCTATGATTATCAATCCCTTTGGATTGTGTATTCTATCCCCCATTAGGATTGACTTAGGATTATGAAAGATTGATGAAATCCTATTAATTTTGCAATTTAACTAATTAGTCTGAACCTCTCCTTAGTCTTCCATTTTGTGTCCCACCCTTCTCTTGGGGATACTATCTTCGGACGGACTATCAATCCCGGCCCCAATTTTCTTAGTCAAACATTGGATTATGCATTTGTTGGATTATTAATCCAATCTTAAGGCCTCATATGGAAAGTAAATATTTTAGTCAAAAGTTACTAAAAAAGTTAAAAAGCTAAAAAGTATTCAACTCATACAAAACAGTCAAAGATTACTTTCCATTCACTCTACCTTTTGTATGTTTTTTTGTAAAAAGCCAAAAAGTCCTTCCCAAACATAACTGTTTTTTTTCATCTCATATTTTAGCCAAAAAGTCACTCAAAATGCCACTTCTCAAACGGGCTCTAAGGCCAACATGGTGAAGGGGGGGAAAAAAGTAAGGATAAAAAATGATAGGGAAACAAACCTTTATTCACTGCAATGAACCCTATCAAAAAAGCTAAAAGAGCAAATGCAACCAAAATCAGCATTCCGACTTTCCTTCGAGTTAAATATCTGCAAATAAAAGGGAGAGACATTTCCTTCTCCCTTGAACCAGAAAGGGACATCTTTGAAGGCTTGCGCACGATGGATGAATTCTGAGTCGGAAACACACCATTGTGTGCCTGTTGCACTGATCCATAACTCGCTGTCCGTAAACCCAATGACCCTCCAGTCATTGTACCTCCAAACCCACAATTTTGCGCTTCATCTCCTTTCTTCCTTGGAATTCTCCTTCATTCAAGAGAACTTCAATGCTCTTCTGGAGCTAAAATGCAATTCCACAAAGTCAATGCCAAAATTAAATAATTATTTAGTTCTAATATTAACCCACAATTGAATTCCCTAAAGTGTATAAAAAACAGAACCACAATTCTTTCTGGAGCCAAATTCAAAGATACTGTACTGCCTTCAAATTAAACCTAATTTCAACAAATCCACGACCGAATTAATCCAAAAGTCACTCAAACTTATAGGTATTGTTTGGTTTATTGGAATGAAGCAGAATGGAAGAATGTATATCCTCACGTTTGGTTCAATTAAAAAAAAATAAGAAAAATTCATTGCAAATGAAATCATTTTATTCCACCTCATTCGAGTGAACCAAACATTATCTAAGTAGTATGACACAATGCAATTCAGTTCCACCAATAAAAAATCAATCACCAAGACCACTCCTAACAAATAAACTCAATCTTCTCCAAACACAAGTTTCAATAAAGCAACTCTTTGTTTCAGTTAATTGAACTTTTTTTCCAAAGTTTCTTCCTTTTGCCAATCAAATCAAAACCAGAAATTACAAACTTTCAGTCCTAGCATCATTTGAAATCCTAATTTCAACAATAAACCTAATTTCAAAGATACTGTAATGCCTTCAAATTAAAACTAATTTCACCAAACCCACAACTGAATTAATTCAAAATTTTGTCAAACTCTTAGGTATTGCTTGGTTTATTAGAATGAAGTGGAAAATGTGAAAACATAAATTACAAATGCAAGGGAATGATCATTCCAGCAGTAGGCTAAAAAATTTCCATTTCACCTAATTTGAGTGAACCAAACACTACCTTAGCAGCATACCCTCCGCAATGCAATTCAGTTCCACAAATCGAAAATCAATCAGTAAAACCACTCCTAACAAACAAACTCAATCTTCTCCAAGCAACTCTTTGTTTCAGTTAATCGAACTATTTTCCAAAGTTTCTTCTTTTTGCTGGGTCAAATCAAAAACTTTCTAGTCCAATATCCTCATTTCAAAATCCAAATCAAGACAATCAAATCCCAAACTTTCAAGACGGCGATTACCGATCCACAAATCAAACTCACAGATCAGTAACCAAACAACATGAATTGAAACATGAAATCAAAATTCAATCCAAAGCCCTAAAAAGATTGAGAGATTGGCATACCTTAATCGATATCGTGTTCTTTTTTCCCCAAAACCCAATTTTCTGAAACTAGGGTTTTACCGATCGAATCGAATCTAGGGATTGTGATGATGAGACTTGTCGCCTATGAATCGAGAATTGGTACGCCACAATTTACATTGCATTTTAGGGAATGTTTGTCTCCAATTATATTACAGTGTTCATACGTCTTAATCCATTTTCGTTCATAACTTCTCTTTTTTCTTTAATTGTACCTTAAATTAGGAAAATTTACATATAAATCTCATTTTGATGAATAATAATCATTTAAGCTTTATTTGTCATAACTTAAAAATGTAAAAGTAAAAAGTTAAAAAGTCAATATCTTGTTTAAGGAATGATTTTGGATGATCCTAAATAAGTGTATTTTTTGACTTTTTATAAAATATGGGTTGAGTTTGAAGTGATGTAATAGAGAAGTAATGTGACTTGGTTTGGGATATTCTAAAAAAGTACACTTTTTGACTTATTGACTTATGTGGGTTGGGTTTGATGTGATGTGTTAGAGAGGTGATGTGATTTAAATAAGATGATGTGACTTAAATAGGATAGTGACTTTTTGACTTTTTGTATTATTTAGTAGATGCCAAACTTGGCCTTAAATAGGATAGTGACTTTTTGACTTTTTAACTTTTTTAGAATATCCCAAACAAGGCCTTAGTCACATCATATTATTTAAGTATCCAACCTATATTCCATAAAAAGTTAAAAAATGCACTTATTAATCATCCCAAATCACCCCTAGTCCAAAGAATTTTTTTATAAACTGATTAGTCCCATTAATTTTGAAAATAAAGATTACATATTATTTAAAAATTAGATTTATGGTTATACTCTTATTTTTCTTTTTCTTTTTTCTCATGTGCTATAAAAGAAAGGTACATAATTTATGCGAATCAAATTTGGAATTACTTTTTATATGTGAATTTTTTTTATTTGAAAAATATTTTAAAATATTATAAAAATGACTTGAAATATGAGATTCTTCAAACACTCTAAAAGAATGTGAAATTCTTCAAACATTTCAAAAGGAATACAAAAACTCTTTAATAAGTTTTAGACAAATGTATAATTTTACACTATAACACTCTAATGTAACACTTCAAAAAAAAATCCTTAGTATATTTTTCTTAAACGTAACACTCTAATATAACACTTCAAAAAAAAACTCTTTAGTGTAACACTTTTATATAACATACCAAAAAAATAAATAAAAAATCTTAGTGTAATTTTTTCAAACGTAGCACTCCAAAAAAATGAAGTGGGATTCTTCAAACCATTCTAAAAGGAATACAAAAATTCGTTAATAAGTTTTGGGTAAATGTATAATTTTCAAACTATGAGTGTTACGTTTGAAAAAAATACATTAAGAAGTTTTTTAGTATTTTTGGGTGTGTTAAATCGAAATATGTTACATTAGAGTGTTACATTTGAGATTATAATGATTGGGGTGTTACATTTAGTAAAAGTACATTAAAGAGTTTGTAATGTGTGTTACATTGGAGTATTACGTTTGAGAAAAATGCACTATGAAATATTTTTTGAGTGTTATACGTTTGAGAAAAATACACTAATGAGTTTTTTGTGTGTATTACATTAGAGTGTTACATTTGGAAAAAGTAAACTAAGGAATTTTTAAAGTGTTAAGTTGTTACATTTGAAAAAAGTATACTAATGAGTTTTTTTTTTTGTATATTATATTAGAGTATTATGTTTGGAAAAAGTATATTAAAGAATTTTTTTTTTTTAGTGTTACATTGTTACGTTCGAAAAATGTACACTAAAGAGTTTTTTGTGTATTACATTAGAGTGTTACGTTTGAAAAAAAAAATAGTACACTAAAGAGTTTTTTTTTAGTGTTATATTGTTACATTTGAGAAAAATACACTAATAAGTTTTTTTGTGTGTATTACATTTGAGCATTACATTTGGAAAAAGTACACTAAGGATTTTTTTTGAAATGCTACATTGATACGTTTGAACAAAGTGCACCAAAGAGTTTTTTAATATGTTACATCGGAATGTTACGTTTTTGTTTCTAATATGGGATTTGTACCATGAGGAGGAAAATCCAAAATATTTATAGTGCGAATTGTTCAAATGTGTAATTTTACAATTGGAGAAACACAATTTTATTTCTAAAAAATTAAACCCAAACATGTAAGTGACTATTTTTTTGTGTAATTTTTACTTTAATAGGACCTTTAGATTCATTAAAAAAAATCGATGACTAAACAGTTCATAAAATCATATTTTAGAATTTATTGGTGCCTCACCCTTAAATTAAACCCCATTTGTTGATTAATGGTTGTTTTGAAAAATAATCAGTTTGTTTGGTTTCAGTTTTTTAGAAATTGAGTTTTTTATTTTTCGTGTGTGTTTTTTTTTTTAGTGAATATTTTTAAAATTTTAAGCAATTTTTTACTATTTTAGATACATATTACTTAGTTGTATCTAAATAGTAAAATATTTTTAAAAAAATTAACAAATACACGAAAACACGAAAAATGTACTGAATTTTTGTATTTTTGGTATTTAGTGAATTTTTTAAAGATTTTTTTCACAAATATTATACTTTTTAAGTGTATTTATGTTAGGTGCGTCTAAATTTTTTTAAAAAAAAAAAGATATTAGAAAATTCAATGAAAGCAAAAAAAAAATACAGAAAAAGAAAAAATAAATTTTTTTGAAAAGAGAATTATGAAAGCTAAAATCAAACAAAGTGAATTATTTTTTAGTTGAGTTTTTAATTATTTTTAAAATACGTGTAAATAAGTTGATTTTTTTTTTTTTATAGTGGCTTCTTAATTGTTTTCCAAAATATAATGTTTTGTAAGAAAATAAAATGGTTATTTACACAATGACCCTCTAAATTATTAAAAATTATTAGTTTTTACTCTCTAAATTATAAAACCGTACGGATAGACTCCCTAAACTATTGAAAAGTATTACTTTGTCTCATAAACTATAAAAGTGTATAAATTACTTATTTAAACTATTGATTTGTTTCACTTTAACCTTTCCCGTTTGGAGGTCCAATTGGTACACTTTCATATTTTTTTGGATTTATTTATACGCTTTTATAGTTTATGAGCAAAGTAATACTTCTTAATAATTTATGAATTTTTGTGTAAATAACCCAAAATAAAATCTTCTAATGGCAATGTTTTTAAGCGGCTTTTTCTGGACTTTTTAATCTTTAATTAAATTGTTTTAGATTTTTCATAAAAAAAGTCACTTAAATACTGCTATTAAACTAGAGAGACACTTGTTCATAAGTGTTCATAAGGTATAAAAGGGATAAAACATTTTGAATAACATGTGATAATTTTTTGAAAGTCATTTTTAAAAAAGTATCTTTTTAACGCATTCTTCTATTTTCAATACATTTTTTAGTTTAATTCCAACACTAGACAAAGCATAAAGGTTACTCATTAGCATATGGCAACTACAAGGTCATAATTTTTAAAAAAAAATATGTAAAATTTGAAAATGTTCATTAGAGACTTTTCTAAGAAAAAACAAATTTCCAACCTTTTGGTCCTTGTAGACTCAAGGGTATGTCGCCGACGAAAGTTGGAAGATACTGTAATGATGCATAGCGAAGGATTTGATAGTAGGTCAATTAAAATGAGAGTAGTTTGCTGTTTTTATTTGTATGAGTAGTATGCTGTTTTTATTTTTATTTTGGAGGGCATTTGGATTATTTTATTTTATTTATTAGGATTGTTGCAAACAAAAAAAAATAAAAATTAGGTAGTAATTTTCAATATGTAAGGAAGGAATTTGTAATGAACAATAACATGAAGCATTTTCTAACCCAAATTTTATTAATCATGTATAATACTGATGGGCACCTAAGGGGCCCAGCGCACAACTCACGGCCCAGGTGTTAAAGCCCAATAACTTTGAGAAACCAATGCTAGCTCAAAATCAATAGCATTCAAACACTTGTCAGGTAAGGAATCAGTCATGTGAAATAGACAAAGGTCCTGCAAAGTTATTACGCCAATACATCAGCCATTTAATGAGGCCACTATAGCATTAAATGCGGCAAGACCCCTCACGCCGGAGTTTACAGAATCACTATGAACGATGTTAACTAGGCCATAAACTTTCGGCCAACAAGACAGCTTAGAATGGACAAGGAAATGATAAGTAACGGATATAAAGAAACTTTCGAAATAAGTTAGAGGTTAAGTCTTCACCTCTTTGCTTCTCTTTCTCTATCTCTTCCTCTAAAATCAATCTATCCTGACCTAACTTGATCGTCGAAATGTCTGTCGGGGGTCAATTTCCCTCTTTGGACCTTTAAAGCAAGCACGCTTCAAGGACTCCAAGGCCAGCAGATCCGTTGGAAGCGTGGATCAGTTCGACCCATCTTCCATTAAAGTTATTGCATTATCAATTGGCGTTATCCACGGGAATTTGATCTCTAGTCGATAGTTATGTTCGTTGTTACCAGAGGAAAACCCCGTTATCTCCTATGATAGGGTGGATGGTCACAAGTAGATCCATGGCTTCCCAACATAATGCTGGTAACCCTGAAGCTGAGTTCTCCAACCCAAATAACCCTTCTCCATATTTTGTAGAACTTACCAACAGCATCAACTGTCTGACTGAACAAAACCAAGCCCTAATCAACGCTCTACTCCAGCGTGACTTACCTATCCCTCTTCCACCACCACAAATAGTTCCCTCGCATCCGAAACACACCCACAATCACCACCAATTCCCATCACAAGTGTCCCAAGGAATATTTCCACCTTTCGCCCCACGGCTTCAACCATTGAATCTTGACAACCTGCACCCCCCTCCCTCAGGCTCGCAGCTTCGGTAAAAGGGACCATCGCCTTTCCATAACTACCTCTCACCGCACCACGCTGCTACCCATGAAGGCGAAGCTGGCAGTGTTCAACCCCCGCCTCCGTTTGGGACGAAGAATTGCGGGCTATGAAGCTT